AACCCATCTCAAGATACCCAATGCATCATCAATATCAAGTCTTTGGACAAGTAATATTAACTGCTAGAGGTATCTTGTTGTAATAATCAAACATTGACAATAAAGCACGTCCAACAACAAACCAGTCTTTGGATTGATTTATCATCGACAAAGCAAATCCTTATAATTATCACATGTTTATCATTACAAGTATGTATGCAATTCGGCCAAATATTAATCTTCCTTTGGGTCGACTACTCGCATGAATATACACAAACACTAACATTCAATATTTTTCATGAACTGCCCAATTCAAGAGAAGTTACTTTGGTGACTTCTTGACTCAATTTGCTCACAAAAAATATTAAACTACCAAAAATTGAATATTTTATTTATATAACAAAACCAAATATTTAATATTTGCAAACTAATTCAAAAGATAATCACCTCATTAGAATTTCACTAAGGATGGACACCTCGCTAGAATCCTATTAGGGATGAACACCTCCTTTGAACAAATCAAAGGATGAAAAGACCTCATTTTCTACCAATACATAAAGGATGAACATCTCCCTAAAATCACACTAGGGATGAAACAGAGATAGTTCTGAGTCTCTTTAACACACTTCTCTAAACCCTAAAAGTGGATTAAACAGTAATCACTCAAATCCTAAACAGGGAATTTAACATCAAATTTTCCTAAAAATAAGAACAGTCACACCTGTGGAAACATTCACCATTTACCTAAGATTCTCTGTGTTGGGAACTCCACAAACACCACCCCCAATTCCAAACCCATAAAATTAAATAAAAACAAAAGATTCAAAAAAAGAACAGAGAACCCAATACAAGAAAGATTGAAATTTGAAACACTATTTCTTTCTCAGTAAAACTTGAAACTTAAACCGAAATAAAAGGGAAAAACGAAGAAGAAGAAGAAGAAGAAGAATCCATAGCTTCCTCCACGGTTCCATCAGCAAGCAGATTGGGGATGTTACCCCCAAATTTAAATTTTAGGGTTCACGAAAATTGGTGATTATTCTCCACTTAGGGTTCATAAAATTGGATAATTTGAATTGTTTAAAATAAAATTAATCCTAATTTTCATAATTAGGGTTCTATAAATTAAACAGACATGAATCAAGTATAGGAGGCTCTGATACCAATTGTTGGAAAATTAATAATAATAATAATACTGATTTTGATTCTAACGATCAAACATAAATATAATCTCATACCGATAAACATGTTGTAAACTGAATGTGAAAACGTACCTGAATTAGTCGTAATGATGATGTCTTTGTAAAACACTATATTGATCTTATGGTCTTCCACCTGAAAAGCACCTGTATTTCCCTCTTGATTTTCTCTCTTGATGGGATAGAAAGAAAGGAACAGGAATGAAACTTACGTTCTGTCTACGTGCTCCCAGAAGGGGACCATGACCCCTTAAAATAATCAGAATTAGGTTAATTACTTAAGTTTTAGTATTTCTAATTTGACCCCTCATCAAATTAGAAATTGCTCTATGGTCTCTACACAATTTTATTTTCATGACATATGCCTTTAGTCAAACTTTTTAATTTAGTCAGATCACTTTATTATTTGGCTTAATAAATAATGGTCTTAACACATTTTAATTATGTATCATATATATACATGACCCAAAATTTTCCAACAATACATTCATTCCATTCTTGGCAATTATCGTAACAAATATTCTTACCGTGATCTAGGGTTCAAGATATATTTTCCAATCATACCTCAAACAATCAAGAATAAATCATTCCAAAGCATAAAGGATAAGAATAAGAACATCAAAGCATATATTAAGATCTCAAAATATCACCATGATACAAAAGAGTTCAAAGGAAGTGCACCGAATCCTAAGAGAATGAAGTTAACCACTCATGTTGGCCATTACAATGCTCCAATTGATGAAGAAGTGAAGAATTGATGAAGATTAGACAAAACCCTAACAGTAGTCATGCCTCCTCTCCTCCAAGACTGTTTGCTTTCTCAAAACACATCTTATCTTTTTATAAGAGAATTTGGGTCGAGCCTCGCATCATTCATTCGCTTAAGCGTTCTTCTTTCTTTCAATTTTACTCCAATTATGCTCCTTACTCTTGTATCAAGGTATTCTCAAATTCATCCTATATTGGGAGAAAATATATTAGAATTAACATAAGTTAAGTGGTTTCATAACAATTCAAGGCATAATTATATCAACTTTTTATCACTTAACACCTTCTTGTGTGAGACTTCAAGTATTCTTTACATCATCATCTTCGTAGAGTTTTTCGATGTTCTCATTTTATATTCTAGGTACATCCTTGTTAGTTTTTCTTATTATTCCACTAGTCTTATATAATGTCTTCTATATCTATTTCTAGTTCCTTTGGTTGTTCAAGTGGTTTGGTGTTTGCTCAACATCTATTAGTTGAATGTGAAGTTCATTCCTTAGGTATGAGTATGATGAAGAAAAGAGTATTTTTTACTCTTCTTGTGGATCATCTTAAGGTGGGATATCTAGCTAAGAATGATTTTATAAAACCTTTTTAGTATTTTAGAAAAAATGAAATTAACAAGGGATGAATTGATTTATGAAAAACTTTAAATTTTTTTTACAAACAAGATGATCATATTTTCACTAACTAATCACTAGACGACAGGTTATTGGGTTGTCTACTAATCAATGAATTAATAGCAAGCAATAAAAAATTTTATAAGTAAGAATTTAAGGTATAACAAGTAATGTATGAACAATTATAATCTCATAATAATGAAGATTAACTATACACACGAATTATATTAATTAACCCTTTAGCCGATAACTATATTTAGTTGTCTAGTCACATCAAGTTTCATATAATTAGGAACCCTACCTTACAATCTAGAAAGCAAGATATATATAATAATCTTGAACATTACAAGATTACTAGGTGACCTGTGAAACACTTTCACTAAGGTGAGTCTTTACCACACCAACTAAGAACCCGTCTAACCACACTAATGAGACATATTTTGTGTACACATTTATAGTTTTATTTTACATTGAAAACACACTACGCATGCTTTATTTTCTATTTTTAAATTTGTTTACTTTAATTTTGCACTTTCGGCTAATATGACATTTGCTTATTATTTTGATCATAACTTTTTCTTTGGATATTATTTTTTATTGCTTTTAGCTCAATTTGATTCTACACTTCTAGAGATTTTAAATGAGCATATGGTTGAGGAAGATTTTAAATGAGCATATGGTTAGATTTGAATCCTTTGCTATTTTCTATATATTTTGGAAGTTGAGGAAGATTTTTATATTTATGTATAGGAATTCTTATGGCATTGACTTTTGTAACTAAACTTATGGATCTAATTAAAGCTCATATTTAGGCTTACTCTCATACAACACTAATTAGAGATTATTTATAGACTCGTTGAGCTTTAATTAGGGGCAATTGTTTATTTTTTTTTAATTTTAGTTTGTAGTTTCAATCTCTAAGTTTGTTCTTCTTCTCTCTGAATTCAAATTCGTATTTCATGATATTGATTTATGTTTCTTTATTTTTAGAATTCAAATGATAAGCCAATTGCATCTTGATCTAATAAATAGATAGGTATTGGATTGAATGATATTCATATTTGATTCATAATTCTAATTCAATAAGTTGTTTTCTATTTAATTAATGAATTAAATTGGTTAAATGTTCAAAATTAGATATGCATATTTAGAGAACTATGATATTAGAAATTGTATGAATCTTGAATAGGTGGGTTGATATTTCTTTTCTTAAATTTCATTTTCTTTGGTTCTTGGATTTTTATTGTTTAATTCTTGTCTTTTAGTTTCAATTCTATTCCATTTCAATTCTTGCATTTTAATTGTTCCCTTTTGAATCAAAATTTCCAAATTAATTTATACATAATTCAAATTGAAGATTGAATGAATACATTTGATGTGACCTAGGTGGTGCTCTATCTTACATATCTTTCAAAACACCTAGATACTTTGATTCAAAATACCTAGATACTTTGATTCAAAATGACATTGAATATGAAACTAGCGTTGTCACGGGACAATTGTGTCTAATCCTCATTTTGTCCTGGCTTTTTTTTTTTTTAGGATTTATCATTTGATAAGTGTTAGTCTTTACTATTTTCATCTTTTATATGCATTGTTTGACCACTTTGATCTTCATAGGCATTGAGTAAGCACTTTTTTTCTATATATATATATATATATATATATATATATATATATATATATATATATATATAAATTAGTGAAAAAAAATTGACTTTGTTAAAATTACCAAAAATTTGTTAAAACCTTAAAAAAAAAAAAATGATCATGATCCACTATCCAAGAAACAAGGATGGTGTGTTAGGTCCTCAATTTTCCAAATTCGATTGTTTAAACATTTCATTTGTTTTTTAACTTCTTACTATTTTTAAAAATCACAAAAGTACAAAATAAGAAATATATTTAGATCATTTACTTTGGAATTAGAATTTTTTCTAAAAAAAATGATGTGTTTTTCAAATTTTATATTATTTTCGACAACTAAGAGCACAAGTTTTATTTACATATTTACAACTTTATTGTACAGTTAATGCATTTTTCATATGCTTTATTTTCACTTTTAAACTCATTTTTAGTTAATAATCATAAATTGGGTTCAATGAACATATTTGTTTTAATTTTGTATTTTTAGCTAATCTGACCTCTTTATTTACTGTTTTAGTCATAACTTCTTCTACTAATATTAATTTTGGCTAATTCAAGTTGAGTTAGATTTTAATTCCCAGAT